ATAATAATAAAGATAATAATAATAAATTAGATGAAAAACGATTAAAAAAAATAAAAAAAGAAATATAATAAAAGATATTATACTAAAAAAAAAAGAAATTAGAAGATAAAATAAAAATTTAGAAAAAAATAATTATTTAAATTAAAAAATTTTTTATAATTTTAAAAATTTACAAGAAAAATATAAAAACTAAAAGAAGAAATTAAAATTTACTTTTAGAGAATAAAAATTGTATTTATATTTGTAATATTTGTAAAGATATTAGTTATAATTCTCATACATATAAAAAAATAATTGTACTATATATTTTTTATTGAACTTTAAACTTAAATATCTTTATCAGTTTTTGTTCAAAAATAAAGAAACTTATATTTTCAGATTTCTTAGATTATGAGGCTTACAATGATATTAAAATTTTTAAAATTTTAATTATTGGTTAATAAAATATTATTATTTCTAATTAATATATTACAAAATTTGAATGCAAAATTTAAAGTTCAATTTTTTTATTGTTTAACTTTAAACATAAATATCTCTGTCAGTTTTTGTTTAAAACAGAAAAACTTATATTTTTAGATTCCTTAGATTATAAAGATTATGTTGATATTAAAATTTTTAAAATTTTAATTGTTGATTAAATAAAATATTATTATTTCTAATTAATGTATTATAAAATTTAAACATAGAATTTAAAGTCTGATTTTTTTATTGTTCAACTTTGAACTTAAATATCTTTGTCAATTTTTATCCAATAATGGAGAAACTTATATTTTCAGATTCCTTAAATTATAAGGATTACAATGATATCAAAATTTTTGAAATTTTATTTGTTGATTAATGAGATATCACTATTTTTCATTGGTGAATTATGTAATAAAAAACAAATAATCTAATTAGTTGTGTGATTATTTTTAAATTTGTATATCAATATGATATCTATTTCAGTTATTCTATATAAAAATAATTATTCAAATTATTTTTCTAAAGTTATATTATGATAATATATAAAATTATCTTTCTAAGATTTTTTATTAATACTTCAAGTTAAATTTGAATATTTATTTTTTATATTTTTACATTTTTTTCTCTTGTACCAAATTTGTTTTGCTGTATTGATTAAAAATATATTCTTATTAATTTATATCATCTTGAATATTCATTTTTAAATTTGTATATATATAAATAAATATATTAGTAAACTAGTCATGACAGAAAATTTAATAAAAACATTTTTTCAAGTAATGCAAATTAATAAGAATAAGCAAATTTTTTATTAATCAAACAAAACAAATCTAATACAAAAAAATAAAAAAAGTGAATAATATAAAAAATATAAAAAACAAATATCAAAATCTGGCTTGAAGTATTAATAAAAAATATCAGAGTTCTAAATAATAAAATATTCTTTAATATTAATTTTTAGTAATTATGTGATTGAGAAATTTTTCTGTTATAACTAGTTTATTATAAGTATACTCGAATTTACTAATTTCTTTCTCTTCAAGTTCTGATTTATTAAGAATATTAAAGATTAGTTTGAATATTAGAATTAAGAATTAGGATTATAATTAGAAGAAAGATTATATGTAAAATTATTTTTCAACATGTTTATTAATGCTTTGAGCCAGATTTATTCATTCATTTTCTGTATTTTTCACATTATTTACTTTTTTAATTTTCTTGTGTCAGATCTGTTTTACATTTTTATTAATTGATTTAGAAAACTCAATATGTAGTTAACCAATCAGCGATAAAAATTACTTGTATTCAATCAGAACTTTGAAAAAAATTAGGAAATGCAGTATACTCATACTCTAATTAATATCCTAATCATAGCAAAAAAATGTTAGATCATGTGATTTTTGTGTATGTTCGGAAAAATTCTATGATAATAAAGTTTATTGTTAAAAGTTATTAATTTAAAGATTAGAATTATGATTAGGATTAGAGCTGGAGTCAAGCTTATATGTAAAATTGTCTTTTCGATATTTTTTAGTGTACCAAGCTAGATTTAGACACTGTTTCTCATATTATTTACATTTTTCATTTTCTTGTTTCGGATTTGTTTTGCCGGGCTGATAAAAAATTTACGTATTTTTATTGATTTGTGCCACCAGCAACACGTTATCTGACACTTTTTTCGTCGTGGTTAGGGTACTTTGGATTCTCCCCTTCCCTAAAAATCACGTGATTTAACTTTTACTATGTGAAAGTTGTATTTTTGTTTTTAAATCATAAACTAAGAATAATAACAATATATTTGATTAATAAATTTATAATTGTTACAGTAGGGGCCATAAGTATCCGAACGCCCGGCATTGTCCAAAATCATACTATAATGATTACCCAAATTTTCTGGGCGTAAAATGTAATACGACACCTGTTCGTTTGTACATTTATAGGTTGTTAGAGCTTCTATATAGGATATTGTATGTTCATTAACTTTCATGTCCTAAATACTATCAGTCATTTCACAACATAATTCTCAATATCCAATAATCTAATTCTTGACATCCAGTGATCTGATTCGAACAAAACTATTATCATTCGATTTGCCTCGACTAGAAGAATCGGATGGCAGTATTTTTGTTCTAATCGGATCACTGGACGTCGAAATATCGCGTCTTAAATTGTTTTTTTGACATTAACAAAAATGAAGCGGTCAATTTATATGAATCTATTACTTTAGGATGTAATATTTCGATATCCAGTGACCCAATTTGAGTGAAAATATCACCATTTGATTTACCTAAATTAGATAAATCGAATAATAGTATTTTCACTCGAACCGGGTCACTAGACATCGAGATATTATCTCCTAAAGTGACCAATTTATTTATTTGGGGCATGAAAGTTGATGAACATACAATATCTATAAATGTACAAATGATCAGGTGTTGTATTACATTTTACGCCCAGAAAATTTGGGTGATCATTATAGTATGATTTTGGACAATGCCGGGCGTTCGGATACTTATGGCCCCTACTGTATAAATCATTTTTTGTATTTCTTTAATTGCAAAGCTGCGTTTAAGAAGTAATCAATTTCTTGCTCGAGATCCTCGATTGTAACTAGTATTTTCATATTTTCATTTTCATATTTTTTTCATTGTCTTGTATTTGAAAAAATTGTACTCCAAGCGACGCAAAATTGTTACGATATTTGTTGGTTCAACATTACTTTGTTTTTTTTTCTTAAGTCGAATATAATCCCAAGCATACTATTAGGATACCTTATTAAGTCACTCGATTAATATTAACAAATTTTAAGAAAAGTCAAGTACCGACATCTAAGACAAGTCATTCATTTGTTTCGATTTCTTTTGTTAAAATTATTCAATTACAATGATTAAATTTTGGACCTACGTATAAATCTATTATCGATCACAGTGGCTTGTTTTATCGTTATTAAAAAAGTAATCACAGCCGACCGATCTTATTTCGTTACTGCTTTTGGTAATAATATACATTAAGACAATATCAAATTAACAATAAGAATTCGTTTACTAATTTTTCTTGATTTCTTTATTGTATCCATTTTGTTTATAGAACCTTTATCCCTCAGCTTTATTATCAAACTTCTTGATTGTTATTGTCAGGAATGACAATTGCTCTAAGAAATCATAGTGATTGTAAAGAATATTCATCGCACAAGTAAGAATGTCAATGGCATTAAGACTAAAGGAGACACTTGGGAAATATTATTGAAACAATTTCGACACTCATTATAGATATTAATTTTGGGAATAAAATGTTTTACCTTGAAAGTTTTTTTTTTACTATGCTAAGCGAGCCTATAACTGAAGGAAAGTTTGATTGTTAGTCCAATAACCAGAATTTATTTGATTTTAAGATGAAATTTATTGATTCTTGAATATATCACTGAAACTTGATGTCATATTACCCTATTACGTATCAACATCAAACATAAAGTATGGGCAGGCTAATTTCCAAGGTACACCTTATCGCTATGAACGGACTGCCGTATGCTTGATTTATTCGACTTTGCTTGGTTCCTGATTTTCGTTTCAAATTCATAACACTCATACAGTTTTTGCATAAATGATATGATAATCACATCTTTCTTTTACATTTATGGTTGTTTAAAATCTTGGCGATTGTGATGATCGAATCGAAACTTTGTGCGTTGAACCAGAAAAGCGTTTCAGCAATCAATCAAAATAATTTGTTTAATGTTCACCTTTCTAGTTGCATTTTTTCAAAGTCACACCAAATGAATTACACTTAAAATACATCGTGAAATTTTTTTGGTTCTTTGCAATTTAATTGGTAAAAATATAAATTGAAAAATGGTTATTTCACTTGTTGCATAATCAGACTCAGGAGATATGTCGAGTAAATGATCGAATAAAGTTTCACCAAAACCAAGAAATTTAAGGAGAAATTATTAGCGTTTCATTGTAAAAAAACCCAATCCATATCGAGTATTTTGTCTTACTATCATTAAAAAACGTGGACGAAATTTATATATTTTAAATTGCCATATAAAGTTAGACATTTGTCATTATTTCAGTTAGTAAACAAAATTTCCTCAAACCTGAAAAAAGAAAGCGGAAGCCGACAGTATGTTCGCATGAGAACCTGCATAATCAATCATTGTCATTTTTGTAAGAGAAAACAAAACAAAACGCGAATACAAAGAATTACGTATAATGAGTACAATATTTGTGTAATTTACAATTATTTTATTACGTACGTAATTGGTAATCGTAATTATAATATAATTGTTCTGCTAGAAAATTTCTATATAAACATGTCTTGCTTTCACTTTCGATATTTCTTCATTACCTTTCTTTTGATAAGAAAAAGTAAAAGATAATTTTTTGAACAGAAGCTGCGCTTCATTCTCTTTCTATTGCTTCCCCAATCTAATAATTTGCTAGTCAAATTATACCCTATTTTATAAATTTTCAATTTTAGAATATACAGTTAATCTCATAAAATTTATTTTATTATATACCTAAAATAAAACAATAAAAATGAATTTTTTTAAAATCTCTCTCTGTTTCACTCTGGTTAGTGTATTCTTCTTCGTAGGAAATGTTGATGCGCACGGTCGCATGGTAAGTAAACGATAAAATTTTTATCTGAAATATTAATTCACACACTAATTGGATCAAATTAATTTAACTATAAATCAGAAAATACCAGAAATTCGTCTTGAACCTAATGACAAAGACTCTGATTTCACGATAGCTCGCAGTCCAACAAAAGGTGCCCCTTGTTCCAATCTTGATAGATCAAAGGGACCTGTAACGAATTATGCTTCTGGCGCAAGTATTCCATTTACATGGCAAATTACTGCAGCACATCTAGGCAAATGTTTTCTTGAACTTTCGACCGATGGAAACGATGGTGGTTTCACAACTCTTAAGGAATATCCTAATTGTGCCGATACAAATGGTGTCTTTAATGACAACGTACAATTACCAGCTGACGTATCTTGCGACAAATGTACTTTGAGATGGCGATGGGAAGCTAAAAACACTGGCGAGTTATATATTAACTGTGCGAATATCCAAATTGGAGGTTCTGGAGGTTCCGGACAAAGTAACCCTAAACCAAACCCAGCTACCAGCACATCTACTACATCTACCAGCACATCTACTACATCTACCAGCACATCTACTACATCTACCAGCACATCTACTACATTTACCAGCACATCTACGACACCTTCTGCACCTAGTGCTCCAGCTCAACCAACTCCAGCTGTCACTGATCCTGTAACTCCTATTAAATCTCAATCAGCGTCTTCAGCTATGACCTCTGGCATGCCAACGAATAAACCTACCAAATCTCACCCAATGCCTTCAGCTGCTACCTCTGGCATGCCAACGAATGAACCTACCAAATCTCACCCAATGCCTTCAGCTGCTACCTCTGGCATGCCAACGAATAAACCTACCAAACCTCAAAAGTGCATTAAACAGGGAGGTGTTACTTATTGCAAAAAACACCGTGGTTGCGGTCGTAAAAGCAATAAATGCATTCAAGTGGAAGGTATTAGATATTGCCCCCGTACTTGCAAAAAATATAAATTTTAAAAGACGTCTGGAATTCTAGTTTATTTGTATATATTTGTTCAAAATAGTGGAATTGTTTTATAAAGAATATGTAGCAAAAAACAGTTATCTTTCAAAAAAATTATCTTTTATTTATTTATAGTTTGGTCTTATCAACTCCCACAAAGTTCTTTTAGAGCTTTTCTAAATAAAATTCGCATTTTAAACCAAATGAAAAGAAAAACATGCATGATGCTAAATTTATAAATATCAAGATGACTATAGTTTTGCAGGATTATCATAATTACTCTTAACCATCTTTCAATTTCTCACTATATTCCGGTTGGTAACAAGTATAACTGGTGTTAAATTTTTAATTTCTGGCCTCTTACCTTCATTCTCACACATACAGTGTCCGACAAAAGTATCCCCGCACCGATAATTTTTGATAGATCATCTGTAGGTCCCTGAAATTTTATATGCATATAGTAC